TCAGAAACTTTCTTCGGCAACGACTGTGCATTGATGAACAGAAGTGTGAAAAGGTTACTATGACCTTTGGAATGTTTTACAATATCTTGTACGTCTAGTCGGTTAGAGAGGTTTCCTACACTTAATTCATCAAACGATGAGCTACTTGCGTTACGGACATGATGAGGCTTAGCGGTGGTGAATGGCGATGTGACCAATGAAGTTTTATCGTCCAACGATTTACGATCACCTGGTTTGCGAGGGTACATGTACGTAGCTGATGCGCCGTTTGTTCTTACTGGTGACGTACAGTGTGGTTTATGATCAGTGTAATCGAGGATAGTAGCTCCAAGGTTGTGTTTTTGGAGGGCGAAACGATCCTGTGAGCCATGCGTCGTACGTATTGTGCGGGATCCCAAAAATTTTTGATGAGGCCCAAAAGTAGGGATAGTATCCGGGGCGTAATTATATACATTCCCATAGTACTAGCCTGGGTCTTCTAGGTGCCGATGTAGGTTTGGGCGGGGTATATGTGACATGCATGACATGAATTTATTTGGTATACAGCATAACATTCTGTTGGGGCCCTGATGGCTGGGTAAACGTGACTTGGGGTACTGTCCCAAGTCAGATGCCCCCAGGTTATCTTATTATCCCTTTCTAACGGTTGAGATTAGGTACGAAACATGCCGTTTGGGTGGGTTTTCTTTTCGAACTGCCCCAGTTCCCATGGATCCGGTAGCGGTTTTGTCTATGGCAACTTTGTTAGCTACGAAGCATTCTTCGCCATCGTTAGACAAAGTGCATTTAAAAATGGCTTTCCTCGAGAGCTTCATAGGTCAAAGGTGCGTGATTTTACCCGTGGGTCTACGTCTATTGACGTTACTGTCAACTCAAGGGTTTTTATCTCTGGTTACCTTGGGGAGGCTAGTACTGATAGCTGGGGTTTCATGGCAAATCAGGGTCCGGTTTGCTTCTGTCCAGGTCCACTTGGGATTGTTTTACTACCAGAGTGGCTGGTGTAGTGCTATTACTGGTCATAGCCGCACAATTCGATTGTTTCGCAGTGCACGCGGTACCCTCAGAGTTTGCACGTGTTGAAGTGATAGGGCCCTTTCCCCTCTGTTTTCCACGCTGACATGGGGTTTTGTCCTGTACAACTGTGGTAGTTTAAAACTTGCTGTTTAGTTTTATATGATCCCGATACCTGATGAATCTCTCAGCATCATAAGGGGGGGTGAACTGGAAAAGAATGGAGCAACTCAGCTGTACTGCTTTCTTGTGGAGGCGTTTAAAGTCACAGTGCATAACCGTCATGCCACATGAGTTTAATACCCCACTCTAGATGACATCCAAGGATATGGCATCTCGAAAATTATGTACTATGGCCTGTCGAGAAGACGCCAGCCTCTTCCTTACCTCAGTTGCCAAGTCGTCTATTAGGATTCCAGCTTCTTCGATATGGTTTGGGACCAGGTTGTTGTATTCCTCAAGAAGGTATGCCAAGGGCTGGAAGTCCCCAACTACTCTCTTGATCGACTTAACATTCTCAGTCTCCTTTCTATTTTCCTTGATGTCATTACTCATTACCGGTATAATGTCTTCAGCTCCGACAAAAGGTCTAGTGCATGTAAGTCCGCCAGGATCTGAATCATATGACGCGACAGAGTTTCGGTCACTACCCGAAATATTAGCTGATTCAACTCTCGTACTCTTATCGCTAGAGCTATCTATGTTTCAGAGATTTGCTTTCGACCGTCCCATCCTTAAAATTGGTTTTAAGTAATGTGCGCGATTGGCAGTGAAGGTATGTATTCCAAAAGGATGGGAGTGCACTGTCTACAGATTACAATGTAGCCTCAAATTATCCGGGCAGAATAGATCGTTATATTACTATAAATATGCAGTATTAATGAGCTAAGCACAACAATAAATCCACAGAAAGATATGATCAGGGATCACGTGTAAAAGTGGTGTATAATTTCAACGTTACCGCATGTCATTCTCATCTCCACTTCTCAATATTGGGCAGGAGGGGGAAACCTCAGGCTGAAGGTCCGACCGAAACCCATCCAATGCCATCCAGAGGGCTGGACTGCGCGAGAATTTTGGCGATGGCAATCACTGGGGTCGGGCGGAAAACCGTCCAGACTGGACTACCTTTTTACCGGCGACCACTTGCTGGATGAAAAGGTTCAGGTTCGAATCCCCCTTGGCAGCAGCGAACACAGTACGGTAATGTTCGACCTGGTATCAAACGAAATACTGTCGCCCTTATCTTTCCTGCAGCAACGCAAACTACATGGTGACGAACCAATATCCGTCGACAACACCATGGCCTCGGGGGTGGCGTAACCTTTCGGCTGACCAACATTGGGAACTAGTTAGAGATATCATCAAGGGGACCTTTGAAAAAGTCCCAGGAATCGGACCAATACCGGGGAAGCGAACCTCACAGCTGAAGCGAGACAATGAACGCCTTTCGAAAGCCGAGAGGAAGGCATGGTATGATTGGGGGACCTCCAGAAGAGATTCTGACCATATCGCGTATACGGCCCCAGGAAATCGATGCAACATCAAAGTGAGGGGAAACAGGATGTCGTTCAGGATGAACCTTGCCCAGAAGCTCGAGGCGAACCCCAAAAACTTATATCGATCAGTGACAAGCGGAAGCTCCACCAGCCAAGGGGCCTGAATGCAGGGAACCTCTCCGGACTAGGGGTCACCGAATCCTTTAACGACACCGACACATAACTGAACACATCTCTACCCAATCACAATTGCCAACTGCCCGAGCAACATTCAGCAGCACCAAATGCAGTAGAATAGCTCGAAATAAAGGTAACTCCTGACATGGTCCTCGAAAAGCTATCAAAGCTTCATGTAGGGAGATCAGCTGGGTGCGATGACATCCAACCGGCTGTGTTGAAACAATGTGGGAGTGCCCCATGTTGTCTGCTGCATAATCTGTTTCAAAACCCAATTGACAGTCACAAGCTTCCACGAGAGTGGAAACGTAGTACTCTGTCCCCCATCTTCAAAGGAGGAGATAAGCAGAACCAAAATGCCATCGACTCACAAACCTTCTACCAGTGGCGTAAAAAGTAATGGAGAGCCTGGTGGACGACCATGTCATGGAGTACTTGGAAAAGAGGGGAGCACCAAGTGATGCTCAGCACGGTTTCAGAAGGGGGAGATCCTGCGCCTCAGATATTCCGGCGGCAGGTGATAAGTGGAAGGCATGTTGGGACCTCCAAATTCCTCTTCGTGTCAGTTTCCTGGATTTTCTCAAGGCCTTTAATACAGTCTCGCACACCATTCTTATTCACAAGATATCAAGGTTGGGCATCAAGTGTCAGGTGCTTTCCTGGTTACAGGACTATTCAGACGGCAGACGATTCTGCATAAAACCCAACATAGTCCCCTCGACTTGGGCGACACCATCATCTGGCGCATCACAAGGGACGATTCTAGGTCCTCTGTCACTCCTTCTTTTACGATCGACCTCCCAGTGAATCTCAGCTCCTCGATTCTACTCTCAGCCGATGATGTTAAGTTTTGGAGAGCTGTGACGTCGGAAACAGAACCAAGTGCGCTGCAAAGTGATCTCAGATTACTCGCAGAGTGGGTGGATATTAGTGCGCCAGCATTTAATCTAGATAAGTGCTGAGCCATGGTTTTGTGCATCTCTGACTTTCAGAAGGTACCTTGTTCTGTCTGCGGAAAACAACTTTCTTACACCACCACGGAGAAAGACCTGAGACTAATACTGACTGACAAGCGAGACACTAGCTTCAGTAATCCAGGAGACGCCTCCACGGCCCACGCGGTACTGCACTTCATGTGCAGACAGCTGGATGCCCTGACCCCAGACCTCTTTCTGAAGAAGTACAGGACCTACATACAACCTCACCTAGAGGTTTACAACGTCATTGCACCACCAAAGCTGGAAAGTGAAGTGAACCTCCCAGAGAATGTTCAAAGACGTGGGGGTGAGGCGCAAACCCTATGACCTAGGACTCTACGCTGTAAACTATCGTAGATTACCTGATGACTTGACAACGGCTTACAAAGTGCTAAGTAACCCAAGCCATCCGAACTGTGGAATCTCACTAAACGGCCACTGTGGAGATCCTCGTGGTAGCCCGAGGAGAATATCCCACCAACGGAGAAAAATCTATGTGCGTCCATACTTTTTCTCTCTGCTCGTTTGCGGCCACCAAAAGGCACTGCCTGCTGAGATTGCTACTGCTTCGTCTGTTGATAGCTTCAAGAAGAGGTTGGACAGTTGCGCGGCGATGCACGGTTTGCGCTTATCCAACTGGGATGTGAACTGGGCTGACACAACCTTCTAACTCAGTACGGCCGGCCCATCATCGAATGCTTTTTAACACCACTATCACTGCGAACTTGGCCAAACCTTATACATCGCCATAGACGTCCCCTCCGGTTACGGTCTTCTACCAATAAAATTACTATCTCACTTCCCATAAGCCATCCTATGATGTTATTTTCTCCTTCCCTTCTGTGGTTTATTTTTCTTCGCACTTTCTCTCCATTGATTTCGCTGCACATATTTCTCATCTCCCTTTACAACCAGTCCAACCAATTGTCTCCTGGCACGACACTTCGGGAACCCATCTGTACAGTCCTTGGAAAAAGAAAACAACATATACTCCCTACAAATTTAACCAGTACCCAACCGCCCATCGGGCTAACCGCAGCTACAGCAGACGAGTGGGTAGACCTACTGCATCACAATACACCAAAGAACTGGAACTTTCCAGCAAGACCTAGGAGTGAGCGCGAAAAAATCAATTGGTCTACACCAGCTCGTAAAAAGATTTTGGATTTAAACCCACTAACCTATAAAACATCCACCTCACCGAAGCTAAAAGCAAGAAAACAGAGGGAGTTTCCTCGTTCACATCAGGAGTGAACCAGACAACTTGAACCAAGCCCTAGTAACTAGATGCGAGAGATCAAAAAGCATCATTTTTCTACTTTCGCAACATCAATGTTGGATATTGGATATTGAATTAAATGTTGGGTGAACTCGGGGATATCACAAATGTTCGCGTTGCCCTCTCAGGTAGTTGTGGATTCGCTTTCTGATGTATCGTCAAGCGATGAAGAGAAGGAGACCAATAACTATAATATTAGCAGTTCGGATGATGAAATACCTATCCCGTCTCAACGTTTTGTACCTGTGAGCTTGACAGAGGTTTTGAGGAAAAGAAACAAAGTGTTAGAAATCTCGATATTCTAACATTCTTTTCCAGTGCTAAGGTTCTGTATAACAGCAGTAAAATATTGCCAAAGTATTGGAAACGTAGGTATGATCTTTTTGAAAGATTTGACGAAGGTGTCCAGCTTGATGAAGGTAAGTTCTGTTGCACCTTGTAAGTTTCGAACTGAAGCTTTGGTGTACTTTAAAAGTCTTGGTAGGAGCTCTTACGTTTTTCAGAAAAGTAGAGGTAACCCCTTAATTGTGTCTGAGAGTTCACAGAATTTCAGCCAAAGTATTTACTGACTATGGTCCACATGATTATTATATGACCAGATGTGGTTTGATATGAGTTAAGTGAAGACATTTTTGTGGGGGCGCAGTCCAGTTATGACTTTTATTAATTATATAACCCAATTTTTAAGTGTAGCGCTTGCACATCTATTGTTTGTAAGTAAGGAAACCAGTTACAATTCTAGTTATTTGTTCATGGTTCTTCATCGGTCTAAATGATATTGGAGATTCTATTTTAAAGGTTAGTAGTTGACCGTCCAAAATGTATTCAGTTGATGCTTGCCTTTCAGCTCCTCATTTTATAACTTTAAATCCAACTTCTTTTGAACTGTCTACTGTGCTATGTATATGTCTCGTGTTTTGCGATAATTATCCTCTCAACTTGATTTTATTGAGTACTCTAGAAACCCGCTTAATTTCCTTCCTCACGATCAGTACTTAGTGTCTATCTTATGCTAACCTTACTGTCTCAAAATGGTTTCAGTATCACTGCAATATATTACACCTCATTTACATGAAGTGACTACATTCTTGGTGCATTAGAAATAGGATTAGATACAATAAAGTAATTTGCTGGAACATACGTACAATTACTGTTTAAGCACTTGTCTATTTGGGACAAAGAGCAGTGAAGAAAAGTGGCCACGAACAATAATCTGCCGGATGACCTTAAAACCACCAATCTGTATTTCTCAACGTTAAAAACATTCCAACAATAAGAATATTATTATAAAAAGTGGAGAGGCACATAGTGGGGTGAGTCTGTTGTGCATACGCATGGAGAAGTTAAAACAATATGTAGGCATTTATTTGCGATGGTAGCTATCCTCAGTTCACCTTAGAAGCCACTTACTGCTCAAATTCTATCCTCTAAACCTTCCTAAGAATCCTTCGACCAAATTTATGCGCATAACAGCAACAGTTGACGAAATCAGAAAGTAAACATTTTACAAGCAGTCTCGAAAGCGAAGTTTAGTCCTTTCAACACGAGCTAATAAACACCTGTAGCTTCGGTTTGGAAAATTTTCAGGAAATGTTCCAAGTCAACTTTGGGTAATTTCCCCACTTTCTGAAGTCTTTGCTGGTCAGGATTTCGCTGTGTGATCAATCTGCCCGAAAGACAAAAGCTTGCATTTTTACCTCAATAACGTAGTTCACTTCGCCCATGTAATCCCTTCTTTAGACAGAACTGGTGAACGGTGTATGAATGAAGTTGTGAACACTAACAAAATAGTATTCACCACCACTATCAAACTGGTCAGCATCCAAACAGTGTTATTGATTGTAAGCGTCTAGGCAATAGTTGTTACAACTATGCCGAATGAATTTAAGCACCGAATCAGGTTTCACCATCATATAGGTAGGTTTTTATATAACCCCAACGTTCAAAACGTTCTGAATAAACCTTGTTTTAGTTTCCTAAACGCTCTGCAGTTATATTGAACTTTACCTACAGTGTTATTGGTTGTTTATGGTTATTTGCTCTGGTCCCTATTCCTTTTTTCTTTCGTAAAAAAAGCAAGACTATCTTTTGGTGGCGAGTCATTGCCTCAGTGCAAAAAGTGGCTCGTTGGTTTAGGGAGTTGACTTTCAACCAGTGGATCGCAGATTTGAGCACCGCTGCACCTACTGAGGTTAGGACAGCCAGGTAGTATTATTTGCCCTCGTACAATAGGTGTGGCTCATCGCCTACTGGACGAATGTACATAAAGTTGCTGAGTGGATTTTGATCTTTTTTCGAGTAAGGAGAGTTAGAACTCTGGGGGTGAGTCTGAAGGAGCTTTACCGACTAATTATTCGTTCAAAATGTAGTCCAACGAATATTAGAAATCCTAATGACGCTTTAAAATCTGGCGGCTTGAAATCGTGTAGCCCCATCCTAACTAATGAAAACCTTGCGGTAACCTCAAGGCGACGATAAAAAATAGAGATCAAAGCCAAATAACTGTAAACAATCAATAATACTTTCCGGAGACTGACCAACGCGAGAGTGGCAGTGAATGATGTTTTATTAGTGTTCACAATTCCATTCAGACACTATTTGTCAGTTTTGTTTGGACAAGAGATTACTTGGGCGAAGTAAACTTGAGGTGAAAATATTACTTCCCGTTTTCAAGATAGATTTATCACAGTAAAATCCCGACCAACAAAGACTTCAGAAAGTGTGAGAATTTCCTGAAGTTGACTTTAAGACTTTAAACATTTCCTGAAAGTTTTCCAAACTGGTTTAACAGTTCCCGATCTATTTTGACATTAATAAACCAGCAGTATTTTCCTAGGGTCTGTATTGTCAATATTACTTTCCAAACCCACTTTCCAGTCAAGGTCATGCTTTAACATCTTGTTTTTCATCCCTTTTTTTGCAACAAGATTCATTTCCACAAATAACCTTTTGAATAAATATTGTTTGGATTCATTTTCTTGTGTCTATCTTTGAAAAATCAATAGCAGTTGTGATTATCTCAACTGATAAATGTACTATCTCTGTTTTTAGAATCGTGGTATAGTATTACACCGGAGGCTATTGCTCGTTATCAAGCCAAAATGTGTGCATGCGATTTACTCGTGGATGCTTTTGCAGGAGTTGGGGGAAATACAATCCAATTCGCTCAAACTTGTGGTCTCGGTAAGTGTTACCCCTGTAGTGATCCACCATGATTGCACCAACAGGAACGGATTTAATTTTTACTGATATTAAGACCTGTCCATAAAAATTAATTGTAACGTAATGGGAAAATAGTCTGAACTACTGTGACTGTGAGGTGCGATAATAAATCGTGACTGTTGTGTAACCGACACAGTTTAGGTTAGTGTTTTTGTGATTGCCTGCTTCAAACTAAACTACTGGCCGGTAATAATCACTGTAATGTACACAGTTGGTTGAAAGCAATTCAGTATTATGTTGAGTATATTGGTCTCGGGTTCGAACTGCACTCCACCCACCGAGGTTTGGACAACCAGGTAGTAGCATTATTAGCCCTCACACAATAAGTGTGGCTCACTATTTAATGCACGGCTGTACACAATGTTACTGAGTGCATTGCTACTGCGGTTGAACTCGTTCATACGTGTACGCGTAGCATGATCCATTCACCCATAGCCAAGCTCCCTATGCTTTGTTTCAGCGTCGTTCATTATACGATGTGACCAGACAGGTCAGTTGTTATTTATTGATGCTTCTACTTTCCTGTTGATTGTTATATTAGACCGGATTGATCGGCCCCTGTTTGTATATGAGCTCCTATGCAAATGCCTCTATATTACCTGAAGAACAATCATTATGTAATTTGATATATGGTGGTGGTTAGCAGTAGGATCCAGTATATGTGTTTCATCCTATTTGAGCCGAATGCCAACAGACACCGATCAATTCGGTCTAACATAACAGTCAATAAATAACAACTGCGATTTGTTGTACAAGAGATGAATATCATATCTCAGTAACGTAGTGGATGGCGTTATGGCGTCCAACTCAATCCTCACTGGGTTTAAGCCTCAGCAGAAATACCATTGCACTGAAATGCAGGTGCATTCAGCTGACGAGTCCTGAAACGATCTTCCTGAATTCTGCTGCTAACCACCACCAATCAACTTAAACATATATCGGTGTCTTCATGCTTTTGTTTTGTGAGTACTATTTATCATGGATAGAGGAAAGGAACAAACAAATCTGTCTAAAGTTTTCCTCGAAAGAAGTTATTGTCTTTAAGTCATAGATGACTTAATTTGATGCCATTAACTTAGTTTCTTCCAGTCACTAAGTATCTCTTATTCATCAGCCTCGACCAACCCTACTGTGGTAGTTGGACTTGCATATCATAATAACCCATCTAGATATACTGCAGGAGCATTCGTCTCCTCGAAGTCCTATCAAACCCAGGAAGTTTGTTGGACAGTGGTAAGGAAAAATGCAGTTACCGTTATATTGTAAATTACTACGCTGTGATGAGGATCCGATGATGAAGTCGTACTGCTGACTAAACGGGTGTGTAACAGAGATAAGGTTTTTCTCACAGATGATCGACAGTCCCATTCTGATACTCCATCCCCTACTGGAATAGGGATTAGAAATGGTTGGCCCTGTAAACAGCACACTTTGCTCCCCTGTAGTCTTCCGGTTCCTATGGTTTGGTTTTATGGCTGGGTTCACAACAAACAAAATGAAATCACGAACTTCCAAATGGCCTCGTGTCCCTTAATTTATACCGTCATGCACCACTATTACTAATCTAGGTTCTTCAGGTATCTCAGGAAGCAGAGTTCCACGGTGTGGCCAGCCGAGAAGTGTCAACCATCCTTACAAATATATCAGCACTCAAGTTCCCTAACTAATCATCAGCTAACTGGAGTGGTTGGATATGTTGAAGTATTTACTATTGTTGAAAAAATCAGCCACTTGTTTAACGCCCACAGATGAACAAGTCAGCACTTCCTTTATGACAGCTTCAGCGAAGACATCGTGGATTTATGAACCCCCATGCAGAGAACCTGTAAAAATTCATTCGAACCAATCACAATAGTGTACTGTTACTTATACTTACCTTCATCAGTCTAGTCAGAATATGATTGTTGGTCAGCATACCTTTTCAGGCTGAATTTTATCTAGTTCTAATGGGTTTGCATTTACTAAGAGGTGGGAAAACCAATATACATCAAAATCATATAACTTTGTTAGACAATCAAATGTTTCCATTGTGTTTATAGAATTTATACTCATTTTTCAGAGGAATGATGTGCAAGTGTAAGCAATCCTGCCTGCTCATATCTGGTTCGCATAATGAATCCGCTACACAGACCTTTCTCAAGTGTGTGTGTGTGAGAAAGAGAGAGAGAGAGAGATTCACCTAAATAAACGCACCTGAGAGTTGTGTAGAGTCAGGAGACTGTCTGGTCTTCTGGTAATAGTAATTAGTGATCCTAGGTTATACCAAAACCCACTCAGAAAGCTTTTGCACATTCGTGTAGTAGGCAATGAGTCACATCTATTGTGTTAAGGCCAATGACATTATCTGACTGCCCAAACCTCGGTAGGTGGGGCGGTGTTCGAATCCGTGACCCATTGACTGAAAGTCAACTCCCTAAACTAGTGAGCTACAACTCTATTCGAGGTGATATGACACCAAACAACACACAAGCTATAGTTAGCAAAGGGTGAAAATGCCAAGTTCAACTTAGCGGAATACCAACTCATAGCTCCAACCACTGAAGTTACTGTAGATAAGAAAAACTGCAGCCAATCAGTGTAACGTAAGAAACTGTGAATAAAACATCAGTTACTCATAAGTAATATAGTGAATAACAATTAAGGTTATTCACCGTGGCAAAATATTTCACCTTCTATTAAGTTTATATAATTTCGAAATGTTCGAAATAGTAAGTTTAGTGTGTACACTTCTCTGTTTCGCAAAAGGCATAGAATTTGCTGTGTTTCTTTTAAAGTTATGATATTTAGTTTATAAATCTTGATTAATCACTTTACTATGGTAAAAAGTTTTAATCTACACGCTGTGATTCATTGATTCATTCATCAGTTTAGACACTACACTTTTCACAGTTGGATTATAGGTTCATAATTCAGTTCATCTACCTTAGTTCTGGTACCTGGGTAGTGGTATTATTAGCTTCCAAACATCAAGTGTAGCTCACAGTCCAGCAAGCAAACCTGTAATGGGTCACTGAGCATCATTTACCATTCATTCGGTAGATTAGTTGTATATTTATACAACACTTCAATGGTATGTATATTCGGACTTCTGGTCAGCTTTACTCTTGATATAACCTACATTGATGAGGTTTTTGTTATGCTGTGTGAAGTTTTAGCGTTTCATTAATTCATTAAAAAAAACAAAATGTTTCTTAACACTAAACAGTTAATCGAAAACTTGCAATCAATTGTAGTTAATGGAGTTCTTTTATGGAAAGAGCATCGGTTCATCAGGTTACCACACCTCACGGTAGTATACAAAGAACAGGTGGATAGAAAATACTGATATCAAAGTAGACGAAGTTATGTGAAGGAGTAAACATTTGAAGATAACATGTAATGCAAATATTCAAGCCTTGGAAGATGTTAAGTAGTAAATACGTCTGCACCGTTGTGATCGATTTCCAGCCATATCACCAAGAGTCCTCAACCACTGATTCCCATCGTCTCGAGAAAGCCAGCTAGGTAAGTAGTCGTAACAAGTTCACAGAAGAATAGAACGTCAAACAATGTAGTCTCCTTCCCAGATTTCTTGAGTAAGAAGACAAATATCAGAAATTGTTGGTTGGCAACTACATGGATAGTCTTTTCACATTGATCTTCGTATCGACAGTACACAAGGAGGAAACACCATGAAATCGAAAACGGGTTTTGTGTGAGTGGAGGCATTTATCACTGCATAGTTTTTGTGAACCTGAAGAGAATGCATCCTAACATTCTTTTTACGAGGATAGTCACCCATTTAGCTTCATTGTCAAAAGGCGTGTCATCTTTGGCAGTCGGTAACGGTAACAAAATAAAAAACTCAAACAAAGCAACTGAAACTTTGGAGCCATAAGGAATTGTTGTATATTATTATAAGACTACAAGACTTCTTCAGCCTAGAATCCGCTAAGCTATAGTCACTGCAGGAGATGAAAAGACGTCGCATGTTTTTTTGCAGAATGAATTGCAATTGCGGTAACCACTGCATTTGAACAATATGGACATGCTCTACTGGGGGAGATATGGCACTCAAATTTCCACTAATAGGTCCTGGGTTCGAATCTCACCCCATATACTTTGGCCTTGGCAGACGAATAGGGTCAAAGATCTTCACATGATAAGAGTTGCTCTCATAGCTTAGTGCAAAAGTATACTCCAGGTTCACTTGCATTACAGTTTAATTATAAGTGAACTAGTAGTTAGTTACCAAGCCAAATCGATGCAGACGTATGGGTGGTTTCGAAATGAAGGTTTTCCAATCTAGCTTCATGATAACTTCTAGAAGCATGATACCTGTGCCAATTAGCAATCCAATAGCGTGAAAACACCGATGAAGTCACTCAGTTGATAACAAAGCAATTGTTAGGAACACATGTCTAATGCCGTCCTCCATTATATGGTTAGGAAAGGCGATTAGTCTCTCCCTCTCTTTCTCAGTAAAAAAGTTATGTATTATTGATGAAATGTGTACTTAGGAGGTACAAAACTGTCCGAAGTCATGAAATATACAAAATGTGAGCGATTTCACGTATGTCTTTAAAACATAGTTAGAGAACCCTAATAATTTCCATTTTAGATGGTATTTAGAAGATAGCAGGGGTTGCCCTCTTCTTGATGAGTACCACTTCTCATTAAAGTGATGGGACTGTGACTCACTGGTTTAGGTACTTGACTTTCAACCAATAGGTCATGGCTCCGAGCACCGATCCACTAACCGAGGTTTGGGCAGTCAGGTAGTATCATTAGCCATCATACAGTAGGCGTCTCATAGACATCGTAGAACCTCGCACACAATTACATCGGTTCATCGGGTTGCCGCGTTTCGCAGTTGTATACGAAGAACAAGTGTATGGAAAAAGTGATATCAGATTAGAAAAAGTTGTGAAAGAACAAACAGTCTTAAGGTAACAGTTAGTTCAAATATCCAAGCTTTAGGAGATATCAATGAGTGAATACCTCTGCGCCGTGACCAGTTTCCAACCATGTCGTCAACAGTGCTCAACCTCTGATTTTTTTCGTCTCGCCAGTTTACATCTCACCACATGACTCAGACCAACAGTCAGAGCTTCCATTTCAGTCAGTTTGTTAGAAATGTCACGGCGAAACAGTATCACTTGCTAGATAATCTTTTGGGCATAATTTATTGGCAGTATTCATATCATGAATGTTGACAATAAATTATGTCCAAATGGTTATCCAGTAATCGATACTGTTACACCGTGATATTTCTAATAGACTGGCTGAAATGGAATTACAATCTACCACAGTGCCCAATTTCTACTCTCATATTAGTCAGGGACTTCATCGACTGGTGTCACGTCTTGGCCTGGTCCAGCGTAATCCAGCTTCTCCTACCATGGCACGTCGAGGTAGGTGGTGGTTCAGCATGTGCAAAGCATATTCAAGCCACATCAACTAATGAAGGCTCACAACCCCCTCAGTCAATTTGTCTGTATTGCCTAGTACCCTTCGCCTGGCCTTTACATCATTCACACATTGATTCCACCGAATGGGAGCAATGGTACAAAGACATCTCTGATCAAGACCCAGTAGTCGCTTCGCGTCTTCTACTTTTACCGGTTATATCTTACAGACGTATAGCAGGATAGAACAGACTGCAATGCAGTACACTCGTCCTTTGACAGATTGTCGAATATCTCGCCGGCGCCACAGATGACATAAGTTGCAAAATGCCAAATGGGCCTTGTGTATTCAAGATAAGATTTCACCAACAACTAGCCTGTTCAGCGAGCTGATACAAATCCCCAAGTGAGGTGATCGACACTTCCCACCACTTCACTCCCTATCATTAAACTAGAAGTACTTACAGCAGATCAATCCTGGATGGCATGCTGCGCATACTCAAGTTTCTGCTCAACGCGTTCAGTTCAGATGACCCTGCATTTTTTTTCAGCATCCTCATGTAGTGCATTAATATCGTCTGTATACTTCACGTCAATCAGAGGACCTCAGGGAGTGAAGACAGACGTACATAAGGCTATGCCCATTAGTACGTCTATGGGAAAGTAAAATAGAAATGGTGACAGTGGACATCTCAGGCGAATTTCACTAGTTGTTGTCAATTCTGATGACCATTCTCCACAAGTTTTCACACACCTACCTGAGTTCGATTAAAGAGCATTGATTGGCGTTATATACTTGCTTGTTATACTCCCTCCACAGCCAGACACTGCCACAACACCTCATGGTCGACAGAGTTTAATTCCGCCTTCAAGAAGTATGGCAAGTGTTCACGGCTGGCCCATAAGTATGCCTTTGTTCCAGAACCTGTCAAAGGGTGACAATCTGATCGGTGCACCCTCTTCCAGGTCTGAAACCTGCCTGGTTTTCTGAAGTTTGCTGTTCTCTAGCTCCAGTTAAGCATAGGATAACTATGAACCCAAAGATCTTGGGAACAATGTTAGTCAAACTAATTCCCTCATGGTTGTCACAAGATTTCTCATCCTTCATATAGGCTGGGATATTCAGTGAAGAAAAACAGCCTGATGGCATTACCTCATTCCAATACAATACTTAGTACCTCCATCACTGTAGTCAGCAGTTATTTTTATCTACATCCTTAAAAATGTTGGGTTGAAACCTGTGAGATCCTGCTATTGTGCATCGTTGCGGGTTCGAGAAAGCCTTTCCAACTTCGGCGAGAGTTGGAGAACCGACATCTATATGCCATTCAGGATGTTGGGCAACTGAAGCCTTGCTGAGGGCCAGTTGAACTATGCTTCAAAGTGTTCTGTGCAACATTCTAGCTGCCTGCCCTGAAAGGCTATAAGCGATCCATCTTTCTCAGTGATAGTCTCACCATTGTCGTCTTGTCGGTGTGCCTAATAAGCCTAAATAGTTGCCTGATGCTTTCCCCACCTCTGTCGCTTTCATGAAATACCACTACTCGTGACTGTTGCAAAGACTTAGTCAATTTATGTTGAAATCGCTTCCGTTGTGATCAGAGCTAGCTGGAATCAGTCTTTTCGCACAAATCAGTTCGGATGACGTCAAAGAAATCTAATGACGTTTGTTAACGTCCGTGTGTGGGTTAACAACTATCTTCATCGCTGTTTCTACAGCAGACTTAGTATCACACCAGGTTTCCTCAAGATAAGGATTGCTGTCATGTTCAAATAAATACGCACTTGACGTTCTCATCTTCCAGTCAACGATAGACAGGCTTTACGATCGCCTTTTTCCCGCGACCACTAAGGCGCAAACATACACTAGCCCGTAGTAGCGCGTGATCAGAGTCCAAACAGGTAATCCGGAAATAGCAGCAGTCTTCCATCGATCCTCCCAACGATGGCCTATAACAGTGCGATCTATCTGTATCCATTGTTGGTTTGAAGTCGGCAGACGCCATATGAGAGTGTCTCTGACCAGAAACAAATGATTTTCGAATTGAAGTTATAACTGACGATCACAGCTGTCACTTCATTGACATGGGATTTTGTAAATACCTCCCTGATGCCTCCCCGTTTTTCTCAGCTTCTTTACTTGAATGTTAAAGTCACCTGGCATTGTGACTACATCTGAACGTTTTGCTTTCTGTAGCGAAATTGACACCTGTTGATAGGATTCATCCTTTGCACTATCCGAACTACAGTAGGTGGTTAGGCGGAGATTACGAATGGGAATCGGTTGGTCTCACGATCCTTCTTATTTCCTACAGATCCATCCAGTCGAACAACACATAGACGGCTGTTTACTATTATCTAATCGAGAAGGTAACTTTCTGCCCTATATCTCAATGCTATGCCTAAATTAGTGAGTTCATTAGAGCTAACCACAGGGTCTCCGGATATTCTTAAGGCGAATTTTTGGAGATTCACTGTACTGTCAGGTGATGTCAATTTAATAACCACACTCCGGTCCTGTATACGTGATTCAAAGACAAAGTATATATCCATGGCTAGAGAAGATCCCAGTGTTATGGAAAGCGATGCTTGGTATCCTACTTGGCATGTAGACCGGGCGTTGAAAGCTGCTACATGAAATCAGTGATGGGGTCTTAGAAGATTGGCAATGAGGTTTCGATACCTTTGATCGTTGCTAATGGTTGTAGAGAGAGTCGTTGGGTAAGACTTAATATTAGTATCAGGAGGTGAAGGCAGGGGAGGAGACAAAGTTGAGAAGGATAGGTTATGTGTGATCGGGTTTTGTAAAATATTGGAAGCATTCAAGTGGTTAACACCTTCCTGGCTGCCCACACCAAGGAAGACTAGTACTCATTGAGTTATTTGAAAAAGAAAAATATTTGAGTCACTCTAAAGCCCATGGAACATCTGCTTAAGGCCTGTCACACACGGCCTTTCGCGGGATTTTATTTTGAGGTTTAGTTGTTCTTACTCCGGATAAGAGAAACACATACCATCAGCTTCGGAAGACCGTGGGCAGCGTTGCTCGTTGGGTCATTGTAATATCCGAACCCGACCACCACATCAAGGTAGTAGCTATTGATTGACCACAATAGGTATACCTCAACACCTAACGCACAAATATGCACAAGGTTACTGGGACCAATTGAATTTTTCCCTCATTAAGATATTTAAGCAAATTTGCACAAACACAAACCTAATTTAACCATCCTATTTCCTATTTTGTCAACTCTAGTTTTAGCCCTTGAACATTGCTTCCCACGCTTGTTATTACTACAAAACAATGCACGAATCTACGGTGTTCTCTCGAAGATTATGATTGTTTGTGGAGATGTCGAAAGAGTATTGAACAGCTTAAGGAGTGTATCATCCTCTACCGATTGTTTTGTAAATCATACCTCAAATGTGCAGAGTTCAAGAGAGCAATATACAGCTGACAGTTTGGAAATGTCTCCATGTTTAGTTAAAAATCCAAATTTAAATTTACAAGTGAATGGCGAACAGTCTGTTAATTCACCTGAAACATCATTTGTCTTAGACGATGATGTTTCACAGTCGGAACATCCACATTCACCGCAAGTCAATAATCCAGAACCCCAGCTACAACTTGGTTCAGATTTAAATGAAGACGAAAAGCCTATTTTAAACATATCAGCAGAAAAACCAGTTACTTCGTCTCTTAATCCACTTATTGATATCGTCTTCATGTCTCCACCATGGGGTGGTCCTGGCTATATTGGAACAGTCTTCCCGCCTGGTTCCAGCAGTTGGAACAGACGTAAACGTAAACACTGGCTAGACGACGTAGAAGAAATTGAACCTACTAAAAATCTTGAAGATATTGTATGCCTGAATATAGCAATGAATGTTGCTCGACATGTGTGCAGTAGACTTTTAGTGTATTTGCCAAGAAATTCTTCTATAGGTCAGTTGATTCAAATGAGTTGGCCATTAACGGAAGGATCGTGTAGTGAACGTCATGGGGATTGTTGTTCTTGTAAACAATATCTTAATGTACACATTGAAACTTATTGCTTACGTGGTAGACAGTTAGCTCTTGGATTGTACTTGGGTGACTTTCCGTTTGTTGAAGAGGATACTATTGTACATAATAAATCTGTTTGAGCAATCAGTGTTTGCTGTACTGAGTGGTTGAATTTGTTAAACCACGATGAATGAATTTGTGTGTTACCTCTCATAAAGAGTCTCATCTGTTTTGTCAGCTAATGGTGCTATTCGGTTGCAAAACCCTGGGGAGGCACCGTGTTACTTCGAACTACCACCTAATTATTAAAAGTTGAGTATCTGAATCAATAAACTACAGCTAATTGACCGTAACTAATATTTCTTATTTACAGACACATTGAAACAAAATGCAGTACTGTCGAGTCATTCAATCAATATCAAGATAGAGTATGGGATTACTACAGCACAGTCCCAGTTTTCATAGCTTATATCGGTACTGAAATTTAGAATGCAGACATAAGAAAGAAACAGAAAGGGAGGGGGAAATTCCTGACGAAGTATAGTACGACGATTAGGATAAAGATGATATGTGAGTGCATCTGCACTAGTGGGATCCATTCCAACCCATATCACCAAGAGTCTCCAACAACCGATTTAAGTTGTTGTTTTGAGCCCAACCGCGAAGTCTACCTTCCACTACAAGACTCAGACCAACAACCGAAGGGCTCATCTACTGATGCCATGTGATAGTCTGGTTGCCTTATTTCAACCTGATCCTACTTAAACTGATATTACACGACGATCAGGTTGTGAACCATAATCGACTCAGGTGGCTTGACCATATGTTGCACATACCTAGTCATCGTCGTGTCATCATCATCATTATCAACATAGTAATGCCTGGTCCTATGTTGATAATGATGATGATGACACGACGATGACTAGGTATGTGCAACATATGGTCAAGCCACCTGAGTCGATTATGGTTCACAACCTGATCAACTAATTTATCTCTACTTGAAACTCTACGCTTGACTTCTGTGTTGCTGAAATGGATGTTCTGCGACACACGGCCAATGCCATGAAGGCGACAGTGATCGAACACCTGAAGCTTACTCAAGTCCTCTACCTTCAATGGTCATGTTTCACAGCTATACAACACAATAGAGCGGACTGCAATGTAGTACACTCAACCCGTATTTGGCAATTGGATGTCATGGCGAAAGTCAAACAAACCCTTTGTATCCGTACTGATATTTCGTCCGTCAATGACCCACTACATCTGACTTGATTTCCCAAGTAAGTGGAGTACCCAACCACTGCACTTCCTGCTGTTAGACTGGGTATTAACACAAACCACTTCTGGAGCAACAGTTCCCATTTATGTGGCGAAACTAACTTTCTCTATCCACTCAATACCTCGATTATGCGTTAAGGACAAACTAGCTCCCTTGGCCACGTTGGTGTGTGTTGTGTGTGCTCCTGTGGAGTAAGGTATATTGACCGTATTCAGAGTTCGCTCTATAAACGCACTTCTGAACATATTCCAGCCTGATTCCGCAAATGAGAAAGGACAGCAACTCAGAGACGTATTTTAGAACATTTGGTCGATTGTGATCACTCCGGGTAAATGCAGAAAAAATCTTCAGTGTCATCTATAGAGTTCATGCAAATCTCGTGAAAAGTGTACACCTGAAACTTCTTCAAACTGTGGAAGCCACAGAAATTAATATTTTGAAGCCTGGACTCTGCATTCAAAAGAAATTTGTCCAGTCACTTGAGTTGCAATGGATATAACCTGTAAGAACATTTTCACCCTCAAAAATCTTTCCATTCAGATCTTCTCACACACATTGTATTCCCCCACTCGTATAATTCTGATTTTTCTTTAGATTCACTGTGTTACGTAGTTTAACTTAGCAACCAAATATTAGTTCGGTCTTGATAAATCTTCTTCTCTTCACTATTTCGAACACACTATGTAATTCCGTTTTCTTCCGATCTCCTAACTTGTAATCAAATGTGAATTCCGTTCAAAATATTTCCTGAAACATTCTTTCTCTATTACTCCACGTGAATAGAATATTTATGTAGGTGATTGTACAGCTTGAGAATGATATCGGTGGATAGACTAACTCTTCAGTATACGTCTTTTGTTTTATTACCACTATAGTTAATAAACAACACAATTTTTGTTATTGTGAAGCTTTAATCTTTCATAATTAGCTTTTATTTATTATCGTACCTGACTGGTCTCAATCACTGACTATCCTAGTTTTCAAGAGGGGATGTAATCCTCCTGTAATAATCACACAACAATCAGTATGATGAACATATTGTCTAAGATCCTAGGTTCTATGATCATTAGACGCCTTGGTGTAGCTGTGGAACGAAAAACCTGATAAAATGAGGACGTATTGACCAGATATTCTCCCTCTGAGAGGTACTGAAACACAGACACACTTCGCTACGCCCGATACTAGTTGTTTTCCTGAAGACAACATTCAACCTCGTTGGTCAAGAAGTCTCACCGAAATGGGTCCCGAATAAGTGCATCACCCTGTTGAAGGCTGTGTATTGGAACATTCGTTGATGTGTTAGAGCCGTTGGTGAGTTATCAGGTGAGTCGTACACGTTAATTCATGTCTGTCAAGAACGTCCACTGCCTCTATTCCTACTTAATTCTGTCACAGACATGTTTAGAGAGGTCTCCGCATCTTCGTTTGAATTCAAAGAGATTGACCTTGTCATAGGAGATTCTTCAGTAAACCTTGAGGACGCAGATGACACAGATATGTAAGGTGGATACATTGATAAGCAGCTGCAGAGTCTTCTGGACACATTGAGTGGCAATTTGAGAATGTATAGGATGCGTCTCTCTCCATACAAATGTAAACTGTTGCTCCAGAACTGGTCTGCATTGGTACCCGGTTTACCAGTTAGGATTGCTGTGGTTGTATGTTGACCACTTCACTTACTTGGGAAGTCAAATCAGCAGTAGTGGGTCAGTGACGGAAGAAATCTCGCCATGGTTACGACAGACTTGCGTAGCTTCTACTAACTCCCGCCATTTGTAGTGTGGCTGTGATACCCGGTCACCAAATGCTTGTTGAGTGTACTGCACTGAAGCTTGCTCTGTTCTGCTCTATGGCAATTAAACGTGGTCAATAAAGTTAGAGGGGATGAAAAGGCTTGTGGTGTTCGACCACCGCTGATTTCGTAGCATTTGTCATGGAACTGCTAGGTATCATCGGTGCATAGAATATTTGACTGTTGGCCTGGACCATGTAGGGGAATGTAGATTTTCTGGCTGACATCCGTGGAATAACCGAATCGGTGGTTTGAGACGAGCTTATATGGCCCCAGGGTGGACGTAAGTGGTACAGATGCATCCAAGCATTTTGTCCATCTTAGTCCTCAAACCGAACTTTATTATTGTCTCGTTCCTTCCTATGCATATTTCACGACTTCCAACCATTTTAACCACTTATCTTTCTACATTCCATTTTGTTGCATTCTATGTAGGTGTGTTGCTCCTAGTTTTACCAACGTGAACCACTCCTCAGTCATCCCAGGTTCCACGTTGATGCCGACCATTTTTACGGTCATGTTTACTTCTGATAGTTGAGTTCTTTCCGTGGGAATTTAGTGAATCCCTATTACGTCTTAATTAAGGACTAAAATGGATTTCTTCAAAAATGACACTAGTTGATTACTTTTTTACATAATGATAGCATCTAAAAATGAACAGGATCCGACTCGATCGTGCTTCAAAAGTATACTACTTATTTCCAGTATTCAGTAGTTGAAATTAATTGACATAATCTGTCTCTATACTAAACTGAAATTGTTCAGAGATAGCTGTTCAACCACTACTTCAGTAAAAGCATCACCAATGGATTACGGATACTGTTTTTGTCAAAGATTACATGTATATCTCGTTAATATTCATGGTACTTGGTAAACAAAATAACACAGAATCTCCTACATCAGTTCACACTGCTACATTTCTCAGCAATGCATAAAAAGGATGTGGATAGACAAAGTGTATTCGAAGAGAGTGAATATATAAGTGAATGGTCTTAGAAGTGCTAAGGATTTTGAATATGATAAGGGGCGTGACTAAGTGTAAGCCATTTCAGTTGTGAATAATTTCCCAAAATCAGTAGCCCAAGCTTCAACAATAACCACCATTGATGCTGACATTCATAGTTCTAACGGACTTTCTCAAGTTAAGATATATAGCCAAGCATCCAGGCTATTTGGCACGTTTTCATGAGATATTAGGTTACCGGTTCATGCACCTTTAGTCGGCTAGTATACACATCTCGTTATTAGGGCAAGACTCGTCAAATTTACGATTCCTACACGGTTACCCAATTTTCTCTCTTGATTTCACACTTGGAGGTATTCGACAAATAAGAAGAATTAGTAGACGACCTATATATCTGTCAGGATTCCCAAACGTTCGTAACTGTAGGTTTCTGACTTCAAGAGAACTACAACTAGGCAGACTGTATGCCTCAGACCAACGGTTAGGGATGTCATAAATTGAACATGTAACTTTTCCCAGCTTAGTTCTGCTTCGGATAACATGAGGAGTGGAAGTAGGCTGTGGTTAGGCATCCACAACTCCCGTCCAAGATGCTTCAGTCGGTGAAGGTACTCAACTTCGTCAACTGACTCATCTTAACACCAGTCGTAGATCGCATAGTAGTCCCACCACACACAAGCAATGAGCTCCACATGTCCATCGTCACCGTTACTGTTTACCTTCATTATAGATGGACTGAAACAATTAATCCCGAGATACCTCGTGGTTTACATCAACTTACCCCCAAGATGGAATCTGGCTGACTTGGAGTACATAGATGACATTGACCTGTCAGGCGAAGACTCCGACTAAATGCAGGGTCTTCTGAACCCCTTGAGCTTAAATACGAGATGTTTCGTTTACAACTGGCACCTGCCAACTGTAGGATGATGCTTCAAGGCTAGTCTGCATCCACTTCCAGTTTCTTGATAGGGAGTGAAGTGGGGAGTTGTGATAGCCTAAACAAGTTGGTTTCTACCGAAGTGTCGGTCGGTATACGGAAGGCCTGTTCGACATTTGCCGGCTTACTTCATCTCTGGAACCGGTGAGATACACGACTACCTAATAAGGAACGAGTATCCTTTTCTACATTCCTCTTTATCTCATTGTATGACAATCATACTTGGCTAATGACGAAAAAAGATGATAAGAGATTATAGGTTTTTGAGCATAAGCATCTTCGTATCATTACCTGCGTATAGTGGAATCACTGCATTAGCGACGCTGTAGTTAGGCATGGGATACTAGTCAAGTAAGGTGGATCGCACAACCAAGGTGGTTTGGACATATTTTGCTCATGTCGAGACACCAGCTACCT